GTCTCGAAGTTGGGCGTCTACACAGTCCTTCATCCTGTTTAACAATACCCTGTTGAAGACTTTTCCCGATATTGAGAGAAGAGTGATGCCCCTGTAGTTATTACACTTGCTGAGATCTCCTTTCTTCGGTATTTTGACCAAAAGTCCTTCTTTCCAGTCTGTTGGTACTTGTTCCTCATCCCAAATCTTATTGAAGAGAATGTGGAGTATCCTTGCACTTGCCGCTACGTCTACTTTTAGTGCCTCTGCTGGAATGTTGTCTGGTCCTGCTGCTTTGCCACTCTTGATTTGTCTGATGGCCATGCTTATCTCTTCAACTGTTGGTAGGCCAACATCGATTGGGAGGTCCGTGGGTGCTGCTTCGATGTTGGGTGGGTTCAGTGGGGCTGTTCGATTCAAGAGTTCTTTGAAGTGTTCTACCCACCTGTTTCATTGCTCTTCAATGTTGGTGATTATCTCGCCTTCCTTGCTTTTCAATGGTCGTTCTGGTTTACGGTAATTTCCAGAGAGTTCCTTTGTTATGTCATACAGTTGTCTCATGTTTCCTTCCCTTGCAGCCTTTCCCGCCGTCTTTGCTAGATCTTCCACATATTTACGTTTGTCGCTTCTGATGCTCCTCTTCACTTGTTTGTTTACTTCTGTGTATTCAGCTTGTGCCTTGGCTTTTTCTGCTCTTGTTCGGCTGGTATTGATTGCTGCCTTCTTTTTCCTCCTTTCTTGAATCTTATCCAGTGTATCAACAGTGATCCATTCCTTGTGATGGTGCTTCTTGTGGCCCAGAACCTCATGACATGTTGAAGTGATTGCCTCTTTGATCCCCTTCCAGTTGCTCTCCACAGTAGTTCCTTCTCCATTGAGTAGATCATGAAAGGCCTGGAACTTATTGCTGAGGACTATCTTGAATTTGTTGAGTTTGTCAGTATCCCGAAGAAAGGCCGTATTGAACTTTTGTGATATTGTCCGCCCCATTGTCCAGTGCTTCTTTAGTTTCAATTTCATCTTGGCGACCAGCAAGTGATGATCTGATGGTATATCAGTTCCTCTCTTGGTTCTCACGTCTTCCATCGTCCTCTTGAACGTTTTGTTGATGCAGATATGGTCGATTTGGTTTTGTGTAGAGTGATCTGGTGACGTCCATGTGGTTTTGTGAATCCGTTTATGTGGGAATATGGTGCCGCCTACGACCAGTTTATTGAAGGCACATAGGTTTGCAAATCTCTCACCATTTTCGTTCCTTTCTCCCAGTCCGTGTCGTCCCATGATGTCTTCATATCCAGTGTTGTCCGTTCCAACCTTGGCATTGAAGTCTCATATCAGAATGGTGAGGTCCTTTGTTGGACACTTCTCGATGATTGACTGCAGCCTATCGTAGAATTGATCTTTAGCGTCTTCATTGTGGTCGTTGGTAGGCGCATAGCATTGGATGATGTTCATTGAAATTCCCTCTTTCTTTGTTTTGAATGAGGCTTTGATGATCCTTGGTCCATGAGATTCCCATCCTATAAGTGCATTTTGTGCTTGTTTGGACAGCATCAATGCAACTCCTTGTGTATGTGGTGCATTTTCTTCTTCATGGCCGGAGTATAACAGAAGCTCTCCTGAAGTTCGTCGTTGTTGCCCAACTTGCGTCCAGTGTGTTTCACTGATCCCAAGCACCTCCAGGTTGTATCTCTTCATTTCTGCAGCAATTTGGAAGGCTCTCCCGGTCTACCACATTGTACGAACATTCCATGTACCTAAATAAAAGGTTGCTCTGGTTGTCAGAAGGGGCATCGGCCTCGTAACTTCCGAGGGAATTCGGCTTTCATCATGAGGCGTCATAGTTCTTCTAAATGAAGACCTGACTCCCAAGGCAGAGTTTAAAATGTTTGAGTAATTTTTTCTGGTTAGCGTTTTTTTAGCGAGCTAGTTTTCTACGGGATGGGGACGCTAACCCCATGCCCAACCCTCCTCCTTTCTCCGGGCTTGGGACCGGCAGTAGCCCCCAGAGGGACTCCAGGCGGAGTTATTAAGAAAGTTGGTTAGACCATTTATATCTTAGTCTTTGGATACATGTTGAAAAAAAACTGATTACTTCGTCAAATAACCTGCTCTTATTTACTAATTTGTTTATTGCTGGTTCTATTATTTCTGAAACTAATTACACAAAATGTGAACTATATTTTTTTCTGAGTCAGCAGTGATGAAAAATCTCAGTCTTCTTAGCATTATCTTGAAATAACCATTTCTCGGCTAAAGAACAGGACTGAACCTGGCAAATATCTTCCTGCCATTTATGTTGCCAGTCGAGGTCTGATGACTAAACGTGTATCTTCGTAATCGCTTGTTTAGTCATGGGTCATTTGGAACGCACACAGACATACAAATTCATTCATTAGGATTTTATGGTTAGATCAAGTGAGTAATAGTAAATTTAAACCAGGTGCTCCGTACCACCAAATCGATCACTAAGTGAATAGTATTTCACATGAGTCAGTCTAATAAATGACATATAACATCCAGTTATTGAAGTAATGTTTTCAAGAAACTATCTGAAATAAATTTTAAAAAATTCGTTTGCAAATGTGGTCACTGGAATTACACAGAACCTCTTCTACTCTACTAGATCAAGTTACTGTAGGTTGCGGCTTAATAAGTGACTCAAGGTTTAAATAATATTAAAATGAATGAATAAAATGGCGATCTGTAAGTGGAATACAATAGTACGATGTGACTAAATGGTAACTACTCGAAATCCCGAATTATCAATTCAACTCCCAAGAAGTCTGGTGTGAGTGAAATAATCTGCGAGGATGACGGGATACCAATCACTAACATCCATCGACCTCTTGGACGATGGGCAGAATTTTTCGAAGGGCAGTCCAACTGGCCTGCTGCTCCGGCAGCACCGGTCAGACTGTCCTGCCCTCCATAGCCGGTGACGACTGATCCACCAAATAAGGCGGAAGTCCATAAGGAACTCCAACTCTTGAAGCGCTACAAGTCACCTGGCCCAGGTGACTTACCTCCGGCTCTTTTTAAAGATGGTGGTGACTTTCTGGTTAAGGAAATGAATACGTTGTTTACAAAGGTCTGGGAGCTAGAGAGTGTTCCAACATCATGGAATGAGTCGATAGTTGTTTCTATCTCTAAAAAGGGTTCACGTCGTTCCTGTAACAACTATCAGGGGATAAGTCTACTTCCGATTGCGTCCAAGCTATTAGCTTCCATCATACTCCGTAGGTTGTTCAAAACCCGAGAAAGTTTGACTAATGAGGAGGAGAATAGCTTTCATTCTGGTCGAGGATGTATTGATTATATGTTCACCCTCCGCCAAATGTTAGAACACCGTCACACTTGTCACAGACCAACAATCGTAGTGTTTCTTGACATCAGGGCTGCCTTCGATTCGTTGGACAGGACTGTTCTCTGGGATTGTCTATTGAAGAAGGATATGCCTGAGAAGTTTATTAACATCCTAAAGGCCCTATGTGCAAACACCTCAGGGAGAGTGAGGGCATACAACCACCTCTCTTCACTGTTCCATTCAAGCAGTGGGGTTAGGCAGGGTTGCCCAATCTCGCCATTCCTCTTCAACTTTGCCATTGATGATATTATGGAAACGGCTCTGACCGTTGGAAAGTGCTTCGCACCTTCAAAGTGCAAAGTACTCCTACAAGACTGGCAGGATTCTAATCCTGCACTCACCCTGGATGGTGAGCAGATAGAAGTAGTCGAGAAGTTTGTGTATCTAGGTAGCTGCATAAGTGCTGGTGGTGGCGTGAGTGATGAGATCAATGCACGTATAGTGAAAGCCAGAGTGGCTTATGCCAATCTGGGCCACCTTTGATGCCTTCGTGATGTTAGTCTGGCTGTAAAAGGTAGGATCTACAACGCGTCGGTGAGAGCAGTTTTGCTCTATGCTTGTGAAACCTGGCCTCTCCGAGTTGAGGACGTCAGACGACTCTCCTCTCTGTGTTCGATCATCGTTGTTTCAGAAGGATTGCTGACATCCAGTGGCAGCATCATGTCAGTAATGCAGAGGTTCGGCATCATGTGTTCGGGCACAGAGATGATAATGCAATCGGTGTCACCATCTTGAAACATCAACTTCGGTGGCTTGGACATGTTCTACGAATGTCGTCCCAGAGAATTCCACGTCGTGCATTGTTTGCCGACTCTGGAACTGGTTGGAAAGAGCGAGGTGGAGAGGTGGTCAGTGTATGACATGGTGTCGTGGTATGAAAGAAAGCTGCAAAGGGCTGGCTTGTGTTGGTCCTTCACGACTCCCTGATTGGGGTCCGAGAGATGGTGCAACACAGTGGCTAGAGACGTTATCAGATATGGCTCAGAATAGAAGCCAGTGGTGATCCTGCTGTAACCTTCCTTTACTTTCTTCATAAAAAGTAGTTTATTCCTTAACTGGAAGATTTCTTCTGATTGTACCTTTCCGTTTCCACCATTATTATTATTATTATTATTATTATTATTATTATTATTATTATTATTGTTATTACTATTATTATTACATACATCACACTATCCTGTTCTTTTCTTTTTTTTTCTTATACGCACCTTACCTTCTTTTTTCTCTTCCCGTTCTCATTGTTTTGTGTGGCGCATATATATCTGATGCCCTCTTGTTCCAATATTCATGTGTTCAAATAAATAAATAAGTCCTGATTGGTATGTAATTAGGAGATTCCTCAAAGCAGCGAGTTTATGTAATGACATTCATCCTTCATAGAACGATTAAATGCGTCTGATAAACAACCATATCCACATACCAGAAGGGTTTCTGTGGATATTACAGTAATGGTTGGGATCATGAGTCAACTGAAGCTAGACCACCAAGGAAAACCTGGATGCTCTGGACGGCCGTTTCGTCCTGTCGTGGGACTCCTTAGCAGTGTGCATCCACGATCCCGCCTCGCAAGATTCGAACTCAGGACCTATCTCTCTCGCTCTCGAGCGCTTAAACACCAGACCGCTGGGCCCGGCATCCAACGGTGTTAATATCTAACTTCAACCAATCCATGAAGTTGAGCGACAACAGTGCATCCAGGTTTTCCATGGCGGTCTAGCTTCAATTGACTCATTATCTCAACCACCGAAACATCCACATATACAAAACAAGAAATGTGAAAATATCTTACTGTTTAGAGTTATTAATATCACTACGACTGATGAATGAAACATCATCTGAATAGGACGAAAAGTCAACAGATATATTATCAACTGTATTTTTATTTCTCAGCGTTAAAATAAAAATAAATTATCAGTAGAAGTAAAAACAATATTTTATTAGTTGTGCAGGTTTTTGAACTGACATTACAATAGCTCCTATTACAACAAGTATAATTATAATTAACAAATTTCTTTAAAAATTCTATTGATTCACACCGATCTGCACATCCTTTAGATGTTAAATGTGGACTGCCAATTGAAAGTGACTGATAAATTATATGAAAAGAAAAAGAAACAAAAGTGTTTTGATAAATATTAGTACTACGAGATCAATTAACATGGAGTATTAAAACTTTAGTATGGATATGAACATAGATGTATTATCATAAGCTGGTCTAAAACGAGGTTTGCCTCTCAGATTAACCAATTTAGAGTGTACTTCTCACTAGGAGTTAGCAAATGATGGACGTCAAATTTTGGCTGAGCGCTTATTATGTAACTTGAAGGTAATGAATTTGACTCCGTATTTATTTCTGGGTGGGCACATCTAGAAAACCCCAAACTAGGAGGAAACGATTGTTCGACACTGCAGTTTTTCAGTGTTTAGTAGCTCGATACACATCGTAATAAAAATGAATTTCAACTTAAATAAATCTAAAAAAAAGTAACTTGCGCTAACCAAACCTGTTCGTTTGTTATTGACATACGGTAAACTTGAGATAAAAAAAATAGTTGGTATCCCTGTTTTAGTAACTTATACCTAATCACAACAGATTTGATGTATTTTTCCTTCATATAGTTAGCATTGAGTCGTACTGATATGCAGTCACATCGTCTTTTCTCTGACAAAAAAATAGTGTGTATTCGGGAAGTTCAGGAGGATTTCTCCAAGTTGTGTTTATTTAAATATTAGTCGGAAGTCATCAAGTTTACCAAGGTTCTAGAATACAACAAAAAGCTACACTATCTTATCTCTTAGTTATGTGGCATTAGTGACGAAATCAACGGAGTTCAGGGGTTTATATGTATTTTACTACCGGTCTCATCAAGGTATAAGTGTTCTATGATGAAGCAATTACTTAGAAAAATTAAGTTCAAATGTGGACTTTTCAGTAGAGAAATGACATCGGTAGATGATCTTCGCAATTGTAAACTACTAGGATATTTTAACCATGTAATATACATTCTTGCATTCCACTTCATGCAAACATGATTGAGAATAATGAGTGTATTAATATGCTATAAAATGTTTCAGTTTATTATTTAAGCAAACGATATTTGCTGCGACTTATGTATGAATCTGTAAACTGGAAATTTACGATCTATTGAGTAGCATTAATTTATATTTGGAGAACTTTCCTGAATGACAATACAGCTCACGACCATGGCCTAAGCTCTTTTCTGTAGTGAAATAAAATCAAATTACTGCACCAGGAAGTGGTCGTCATATGCACTTTGTGAATAATCTGAACCAACATACAAACTGATTTTCACAATGACATTAAAAAACAGTATACCTAAATGAAAAAAATGTTACTTTCATATATCAAGTACTTTATAACATTAGAATGATAAATTTATTTATAGGATGAGCTAAAGTCTTCTGATGATGTTGAAAGCTTCAACAAATATTAACTGTGATATTTGCATTTATTTCAACAAGAAATTTTTCAAATCTGTGGATGGATAATAGATAGATGGGCCCTGTCAAGCAGAGCTATCGAACTGTTGAAGTAATTAGGTGGTATTAGGGCATTTTTACTATTCATATCCTTGATAAAAATAACCATGTCAGTTTCTAGAAAAAAATATGAAGTGGAATAATAACAGACCAACTGTTAGTACGTCACTGCCTTTTAAAGTTTCCTAGACGTGAATAATCGATAACTAGAAAAACACACGACTTGGAAACTGAAATTAAATAGTAATCCTGTATTTATTGAAATATAAACTGTTTCTTTTTAAAAGACAACAGTTCATCATACTTTATAATTCTGGAAAAATAAATACTTTCTATTCTCTTAGACAAGTACACAAATAATCAATCCTCCAAGTTATTAAGATTTATTAAACTACCCAGTTTTTTCCAGTGAACTGTATGTAGCATAATTAAACCTAAATAACATCAACACTATCACCAATAATTCCGAATATGAATCCATATATAAATATACTGATATTCATTTTTGGTGGATTAAATTGTTTCACAAATGAAAGTTTTCATCAACCTGGTATGTATGTAACTGAGAAAAGCAAACTCACTTTAATCGTGAGTTTCTAAAGATGGTCTAACATTGTATTTCTAGAGTTTATCAGTAATTTGATTGGCCTATAACTCAGTGCTAGTAAAGACTAGTTAATTCATTTAAGTTCATTATATTCCGTTGCTTGTTGTTTTTGTTTCAATGTAAAATTAGTACACTGGGATCGCGATTAATACTATCTGTTATTGGACATCATGACACCAATCAATGTCAGGTGGTACTTTGGGATTATAACATTCTACTTTATTAAATTAATATTTAGAATGTTAAAGATTTCTATTGTGAAAATTAGAACAACACATATAAGCGAACAATTGTTTTCAATTAGATCGTCATCAGGCTTTACTCTAATATACATGAATATTTATACGAAAATGTTAAACCAATCAAGGCAATATGGGTCAATAATCACAATGAAATAGAATAAGTCTCTACACATAATAGGTAAAAGTACAAGTTTATAGTAGGAAGACAGGTGAACTGATAATAGTAAGAATAATAAAATACAATAACAAAACTCTTATCAATAGTTAAACGTTGGGAATAGAAGGTCAAACATGGGTAAATAGACTAGGAATAGTCATCACAAAACATTAAAATCATTACGTAATAAGAAGTGTGTAAATAATTAGATAGTGAAGAATACAAACGGAAAGAGGCGGAAAATTACAAACAAATAATGGATGTGACAATAGGGTTAATAATAACAAAAATAGAAAAAAAATGAATAAATAATAAAAATTAAAAAAAAATCGTTAGTTAAGTTATAAATGGCCATGGAAGGGATAGTGGGGTTACGAATTTCTTCTGTACACATAAATTAGTTTATATGTACGAATTCTTATGGCTTCAGCTATATGTAGGAGGCGGGAACGAACTCCGTTGGGAAATGATGGAGGTATATGATAGATCACTCGAAATGATTTTGATTTATCTACAGCATGACCGCTATCAACAAGATGTGCCAAGATAGAACTGCGTACTGTTTTTATCTGGCCCGTTATAAACCAAGATGGTAGATGTTCATTCATTCGTCGGTTAAGTTGCCTGGTAGTACGCCCGATATAGCTATCTCCACAGGAGCAGCTGAATTTGTAAATGCACATTGGAGATGCCAACTCAGGTAACTTATCCTTCGTTTGGGTAAACATCGCTAATCGACAAGAGAAAGTCAACGCAGGATTGGCTGCGTAGAATGTCCTGCTGATTACTTTCGTTAACCTATATTTCAGTGTATCACTAGCCACATCCCCGTTGAATTTTAGTTTCATGTATAAAGGTTTCTTACGAACAGTTGAAATCTCCAACGATAACGATCTAATTGAAAACAATTGTTCGCTTATATGTGTTCTAAATTAATATTTCACTATCATTTTAGAACATGAGAGATGATTTTTTCAATATAACGTGTTAAGTTTTTCTTTTTCAACTCTTGACAAGTCACTTGATTTTAAATTTTTGCTATGTTTCATAATTCATCTTTAAAAGTGTTAATAATTTGTTTATATTGAACTAAAATTAATTTTTTAAATTAATATTTAGAATGAGAACTCAAATAATTTTATGTATACTCTCTACACTTACCACACACCATTTACAGTGATCTCTGATGCTAACTTCAGGAGAAGAACGATTGAATGGAAATGGGCACAATCCACACTCATAACATTTGGCTGAAAAAGCTGAAATGAATGGGTATGAAATACAATCATAATGACATTAATGAGCGGTTTTTTTTGGAGTTTGTTTATGTGTGTTATACCGCTTTTGCAAACAAAATTACCCAATTTAACCAACATAAATATGTGAATTTTTTCGAATTTATTTATTGTGAGTAACTCTCACTGTTAGGCAATAAAATATTATCATTTTTAACCTTTACAATATGATTGTGAGTTCATGATTACAAAATTCCCAGTCATATTGGATCTCCTATGATCATGTTTGTATTTAAAAACAGTTACTACTCAAAGAAAATTTAAGACTACTTTATTCATAATTATTAGAAAGTTAGGCACCCTTTATTAGTTGCTCTCCTCTCTTTTATAGTCAAATTTTTAAAAGGATTGAAATTACAACGATAATGATTTCATTTTAGTACACTAAACACTATGAACGAGAAGTAAACATTTACTGGTCTATTTACTTTAATAGAAACAATTAAAGATTGAATGAATCATAAGATAATACTAAATTTATTTAGTAAGAACAAGTAGAAAGTTTTAATCATAAGGTTATTTCTTGTTGGCTTTGCTAAAATAGGTTGATCATTACTGAATAAATTGGTTCTATGGTCTTTCAGTTCATGGTAAATACAATCTTTGAAGTAAATAAATTTTCATAGACGATTTCAGGAGGAAATCTTAATGTGGTAGTCAAATGAAGTTATCTGAGATTGAAGTTTGAATAGCTTAGGTATTTGTTAACATTTTCATACTAAAAACAAATCACAAAGTCGAAATAAGATGGACTGGATGGAAACAGAAATATACTAGCAAAAAGACAAGGGGGAAAATAAATAACATAAAAAAGTAGTTACGTTTAACTTCTAAAAGAAAGTAAAAACTGAATTGCCATTCATATTAATGATTTCAGATCATACCTTATGAAAACTCTAACAATTTTGTTTGAACATCCCATAGACTTCATACAGAAAAGGAGAAGATACTGTATATCTTAAACCAACAGAAAGAAATGAATAGTTCATAAGTCCAAAAATTGATTGAAAATAACTTCAACGAGTGTGATATTCATGGTATCATTAGTTAGATTATTACATATACTTATCTGTTTTTCTGACATATTAGATCGTGTTTTTTCGAAAATGATAATACGGTATTACTGAACCATACAATTTACTCATTTTACAACTCTACTGTTTCTGAACAAAGTAACTAGCTTGATTACCTTCCACTGATAACAGAAATATCTACGTCTATTTTCAAAATTATATCTCCAACTATTTAAGTTTCTGTGAACATGACGTCGTCAACATGGCAAGAAGCAGTGTCTCATTTGGTCAATCTAGAACAATAATGTAAAGAATAATTAAATGAAGATAGCGAAATCAAACCAAAGATAACATGTATTGTGATAATGAAAGAGTTCCCAAATGAATGTAAAATCCAGTCACTTGAAGCTATCAATCAATACCGTCGTATCACATATTTTTGGTTAGTTTGATCAAAGTAACGATAAGAAGATTAATAAAAGGCAAACAAAATTCCAATTACACTAAATAAAATTTTATAGATGAAATTTTCTACTGGAAATTAGTTTACAATCTTATTCAGTGAAATTAATTCATTAAATCAACAGTATGCTCTTATTGTTTGGTCAATAAATTTTCACCACGATCTGATAGACTCATACATCAGCAAAATAGAATTCTCAGTGGAAAGAGAAATCACTGTCATATTCCACATTTACATAGTCTGTTAACATTGTTTTGATATTCCCCAATGCACACTGTAAACGTCTTTACAAATTCCAGTAAAATTAGGAATGCCCGCTACCAAATCAAACAACCTTAGTTATTATTGTAGTAAACAATTCAATTGACATGTTACTTTCAATAACAATATATATATTTGCATAATACAAATAATAATAGAAACGTTACTGAATGGAATAATAACTTATCAACATTTTCTAACTCACTGTAATCTGTATTCACTACAAACACCAATATCATCAATAAAATCTGTATGTTACTTTCCATGATACTAAACGATTACAAACACACTTATCATATTTCAACTGTTCAACACTTAAATATGGATTTTCTATCATAATTTGTAAATAAAAATGATTTGCTGAATTTGTGGATCAAATTATTAATTTGTTATTTGAAGTTTATTAATTGGTTGAAAAGGAATCACTTTTATGTATCTTATTAATCAATGTCGATCGTGTATGAGCTAACAAATGTTAGCTACATGAGATGAGGCTTGAGAATAACAATTTTAGAAAGAAAAAAAAACAATTGCTACCTCATATTAATGACTCTTTTAAAAATTATTTTCAATCTATCTAGTTCCAAACAAGACTGAACACTAAAACATATGTAAATTGACGTAAGGCTTTGGTTAATACTTTATTCAATTTTATGCAATGGTATACAAGGAAACAATTGTAGTGAAAAGTTTTCATTCTACAAAAATGTATCATAAAATTGTTAACATGTGATTGAAGCAATTTTTGGTTGAAAGGGGAAACTAGACCAATTAGTTATTCTACAAATAAAACTATTGTTAATGTTAGAGTAATATGTGCTACGCGCTTTAGTTTCGAGATTCACCAAATAATTAAGATGACTATAATTAAATGATAATTTAGTGAACAACTCATTATACTTTTGATTCAAATCATTAAGTCAATCGAGTTAGATCAGAAGTTGAGTTTATTAAATTATTTAGGGCAATCGATGAGAACTCGCAAATTTATGTTTCTTGCCGTTTGGCATTCATTAACAGATAATGTCTGTTAATTTTGTTTGGTGGGATAACAATTCAAAATGTGAAATGACATGTTATGAACTGTTTATTAAGACACATCTTGATAATTTTCGTTTGTTTACGTAATCATATTGGTTTGTTCAGTGATTGAATTATATGTTAGTTGACAATACTATTTGAATGATCAAAGTAAGCAAAGTTATGATGAAAATGTTGAGAAGAATTTCCAACTAATTTGGATTCTTTTGATGTTACGTCATCTGAACTATTTAGTCTAGTTGAAAACTTTTCATCGTTGTTCAAAACAATGCAGTTAGCTCCTAAGTCATGTCGGGAAAATGATGTAAGGATAGCTATCATATATTACATCTCCATTAAAGTATACATGGTTTTATTTTCTCTCGCTTATTCACAATAACTTCAGCGAAATAAGGAAAGCCACTTAAAAGAATATGGCATATTCTAACTAGCAGAATTAAGTCCTATTCAAAACTCAACCTTAATTAGATTGAAATACAGAAAATCAATAACAATGTTCTGTTGCATTTCTATGTTATACAAAAATCCCAAAAATCAAAAGTTCCTCTATGTGCAAGCATATTATTTTTACGGGAATTCCAGAAGATAATTTGTCGGACCGAGAAATTCACGAGACCAATCCATCAAACCTCCTAGACAAATCAGGATTTTCGAATTCTCATTAATAAACTAGTGATATCCTTTGAAATTAGGGATTTAATTACTTTAGGCGAAAAGCAACTAAAATATCAGAATTCAACTGAGATAATCAGTTTACTTTGTATAAAGCACTTTATTTCAGTGATTAGGTATGTGAACGGGTAGAATTTACTTGGTTGAGATCCCTAATACCTGGAGTGATTGAAGAATCAGTGAAATATAAGGGCTAAAAGCCCTTGTTTTGGTAGTGATTAAACTGAACATTTAGATTCACTGTATGATCGACATTATGATCATCGCCCGAAAGATGAGCTGGAATACGCTAATAGGTTTCTTGACCATATCTTCATATACATGAAACCCATCGAAGTGACGTTTGAAATGCAGCTATCAGTAGAATCAAGGAGCGCATATTTCGTCACATTCAAAACTCATCACACTGAGGCTCGAACGCAGTACATGGTACTTTAGACTGAAGGCTCTGGGTTCGAATCCCGCGAGCGGTATCGTGGATACGCGCAGCTGAGGAGTCCCATAATAAGACGAAACGGTCGTCCAGTGCTTCCAGGTTTTCAGTGGTGGTCTAACATCATTCGGTTCAGGATCTCTTTCAAGAATACTGGAACTAATCGGGCACCGAGTATAAAAATACACTATATAGGAAAACTATATTTGAAATAATCTCAGCAATTGAAATTTAAATAATTCCAACGTTTCGTCCAGTAAACTTGACTGGACTTCTCCACCGTAATAATCAAAATCCACATTATCGAAGAATATATAATGTTTAACAATCAAATCAAATCTATACTGTGCTAATCCAGTCGTATTAAAATATTGACTTTAGTAAGTAGGATAACATGAGTCAGTTATTTGCGAATCACGTGAAAAGTACTCAGTGTGAAGATAATTGAATGAATTATTGTGTATGGATGTATGTGTAAGACTATGTTATTAAGAGTTGATATTATGTGTTAATTAGTGTTTATATGGAGAAAATAAAAGTGAAAGTTGATGCTGTTTTTGAACAGTCAATGTATATGTAAAATGCGAACCATAAAATACATTAATGTAGCGCTAAAATATCCCAATTATTTTTGTCAGAATAAAGATGCATGTGAAGTAAAAAGGTGGGATAGACATAGGGTCTAATAACTTGTTACTGAACATTTGTCAAGTGGTTGCTAATTGAATACCATCCCCTCTGTTCAGGCTGTTCTTATTAGCCCATATATAACGCTTATGCTGTCGATCATTCTTTATATGTGCCAAAACCTTTCTGAAGTATCTTGGTCCTCTCGTTTGGTCCCATTTCGTTGAATGATGATAAAAAGTGTTAAGAATGGTTGAAAATAAGTGTTTTCAGTAAATCGACACACTCTGAGAGATGCTTAGCTTACGGTTAGGATGATGCGTATTGTATGAAAGTCACAGTTGCAAAAAATTCAATTAAGAGGAAAATTAATCTCAGTATAGAGAACGAAGACCAACAGGATAAAATTGAATAGAACTTTGTCTACATAAAATCCTTGTGATTAGTAATATGTAAGTCAAAAAACTCAGTACCTAAAGGAGGTGAGTAGAATGTAATTTACAAAGTTCACTTTCATAACCACGAAAAACGGTACATCAGACAATATGAATGTTAACTAGCTGTCAGGTATCAAAACATATCTCAGCATGCGGAACAATCATTAACAAGGTTTCGATTGTAAAATTTTTTTGAATCTTATGCAGAAGTGGAGCGAAGAAGACCAAATGATTCTTAAGAGCACTACTCTAATGTTATTTAGAAGTCAATGGACATACGGGGATTAACGTATTCTATCAGTTAATGAAAAATTGGTAAGTAAATATTAGGTCAGTAAATAGGCTGTAGGAAAAAAATTATCAAGATCCTTATCCAGACAGTGACAAGATAGTTACTACAAATAATTAATCATGTTCTTCACTGATAGGTTAAATAATTAGCTCTTAATGTTTATATTCTAAAAACTCTTCTTTTTTTGAAGTTAGTACTGATGACTTCTGTGAAAATAATAGTAAGAACTTTACAATTAAATCATCAAACTTCAGATAAGTAATACAATCTTGATCAATTCTATTTACAACTGTCTATTGATGAAGATTTTGGAAAGTAGAACTTTGTAAATTGAATAAATTTATATGTTGAGAATCTTTTCTAAATGTAAACTTATAAATTCTTCAATGATCAGTGGTATTATATTTTCAAAAATAAATTTTATATTAGTTAACTTTTAATAACAGAAAAATCAAATTTAAATTAAGTACTTTACTAGATCAGGAATATGATCCTGACTGATACCTGTGAATAGCCTTACGCGTCAAGATTGACATATCTGTATGAAATGAGTTTCCATCATTGGGAGTGAACGAGTTCATAACGATTGATTGTATTTTAGGTGAAGTTTGTTAAGACAGCATTTATTTTAGTGATTTCGTACGACAAAGAAACTGTTTTTTACCGATTACGGTTTAAAGCAACGCTACTGTACTACAACAAATCACTACGTTAGCAATATTTTCTGTAATAATTGGTAGCCAGCTTGCTTATCAGTATCAGACTTGAATGATGGCACAACTTAATAGTTATTAAACTACTATATATATCAGAAACAGTGAGCGGACTTGCGGTCATCAAATAGATATCTAGAGAAAGTTAATTAGTAAGTTGATCTCCAGAAAACATCAACTAAATTGTTTCACATCTAAACTAAATTCGTAGTTACTTGATCTCATGTCATGTCTTATTGAATGATAAATCAGAGTGTACACTGAGTATTGCCACAAGAAGAAGGTAGGCATTACAATGAATCATTTGAAATTCCACAACATTTAGAATGTCAACCGTCTACATGGAATTCATTTAGCGAGTTGTGAGTCACGTGCCTTCACATATTTAGGAAATTCTATATTGTATTTGGTGTTCGGTATTTTCTCACAATAATCTACAGTTCACAACAACAAATTAAACAGAAACAAATTGGTGGTCGAAGAAAACAATATCTAATTGTTTTCGTTGTAAAGAAACACATAAGAAGCAATTCACACAACAACAAGAAGTCAGCAACTATTTGTTAGTGAATATCACATGTTGACAAAGATTGAGTGTGGTTTCGATTCAGTGAAAAGTTTGAGTTGACAATTCAAGTTTTCAAATGGTATCTAATTCGTTAACAACAAACTTTCAGCAATTACAAAGGGTACGCCAGAAAAACATGAAGTCAATAATGTCGCGGCTTTTTTTCAGCTGCAAACGGCCTTGAAATATCATTGATTATCTAAGATAAATCAACATACTATGTTATACACAAGTGAAGTTTAGAAACTGGAGGATCAATAACAATTCTTTCAAGGTTGAGTATTTAGGTTTTAACTGCTATGACAATTTAAACATAAACATCATCCATCAACATATGGATCATTTCTACAATTTGGTTTTAAGATTTATGATTATGTTTACATTTCTGATTACACATAGGTGGCTATGAACTGGAAAACTATCTTATCACATTATTAAAACCCAGTTTATCAAATGTTTTTTGACTGAAACTTAGTTTATACCACAGAAGAGTTAGAAATTGTAAAATCTTGAGAATCACA